TGCAATACGATGACACACGTCATGGCGTGGGCCTCGATATAGCCATATACTGAAGGAAATTTTGATATACCACGTGTTTCTCGTGACACTAAAATTAACAATTTTGGCTTGGCACTATTATCAATGTGTAAAGTGTTATCTCTCGTCACTATTATCAATGTGTAAAGTGTTATCTCTAGTCACTATTATCAATGTGTAAAGTGTTATCTCTAGTCACTATTATCAATGTGTAAAGTGTTATCTCTAGTCACTATTATCAATGTGTAAAGTGTTATCTCTAGTCACTATTATCAATGTGTAAAGTGTTATCTCTAGTCACTATTATCAATGTGTAAAGTGTTATCTCTAGTCACTATTATCAATGTGTAAAGTGTTATCTCTAGTCACTATTATCAATGTGTAAAGTTTTATCTCTAGTCACTATTATCAATGTGTAAAGTGTTATCTCTAGTCACTATTATCAATGTGTAAAGTGTTATCTCTAGTCACTATTATCAATGTGTAAAGTGTTATCTCTAGTCACTATTATCAATGTGTAAAGTGTTATCTCTAGTCACTATTATCAATGTGTAAAGTGTTATCTCTAGTCACTATTATCAATGTGTAAAGTGTTATCTCTAGTCACTATTATCAATGTGTAAAGTGTTATCTCTAGTCACTATTATCAATGTGTAAAGTGTTATCTCTAGTCACTATTATCAATGTGTAAAGTGTTATCTCTAGTCACTATTAATGGCAGAACAGATGTGCCTGTTGGTGATTTTACATGTGTTGCAAACGACGGTAGAAGTGTGGTTGATTATGTCTTGTCTCGCTAGATCTATTTGAAATGGTGAATAATTTGGAAATCCCCGTTCGGGTAGAATCTGACCATTTTCCATTGTGCTACACCGTAGAAGTAAATGCGGTACCATTAAAAAGCAAGAAAGCATTTAATAATAAAAAGATAATTATTAATAAGTATATTTGGAGTGACGATAGGTTTCAAACTTTCCGTGCAAAAATTTGGGGTAGAGCTGATGACATAAGAAATCTAACCAACCAAGAAATTGACATTGACAACATTAATAAAATTGTACAGAGTTTTACTGAAATTTTGAATTCGGCCGGGGAGGATATGCTCCACTCTACTACAATAAATCAAACACACAACCAAAAACGCAGCAATAAACCCTGGTTTGACCAGGAATGTCGTAATGCAAAAACATGCAAATTGATTAGCCTTCGGCGCTTTCGAGAAAGTGGTACAAATCATGATTTGGCATTGTACAAGGATACAAAACGAGATTATGAGAATCTCATCAAATTTAAGAAAAATAATTACGATATTTATATTCAAGACCAATTGAGAAAAATTTCTGATGAAAAATGTCTCTGGTCTGTTATGAAAAAACAAAAACGTCACGCCTTCACTCCAAATCAGTTGGAGATTGGTGAATGGGCAAACTACTTTAAAAATCTGTACAAAACAAAGTTTAGCGATACTAACGATGATTTGCAACCACATGATAATGATAATCCAAATTTATTACTGAATGCTCCAATTTCACAAAGTGAAATCTTAAATGCTGTTTATAATCTTAAGAAAAACAAATCCGCTGGGCCTGATATGATTATTCCAGAATTTTTGAAATATTCATGTGACTTAACCGTCCCTCTAATCCATACTCTCTTCAATAGTATATTTAACACTGAGCATTTTCCACAGGGGTGGTCCAGAGGTGTTATAGTTCCAGTTTACAAAAAGAACAACACTCGTGACCCAAACAATTACAGAGCAATCATCCTCCTAAATGTATTTAGTAAAATATTCACTGGTATTCTAAATCAACGTCTAAAAACTTGGGCAAATGAATATAACAAAATTCCCGAGGTACAGGCGGGTTTCAGGGAAGGGTACAGCACTATTGATCACGTGTTCACTCTATCAGCAATTATTCAAAGGTACCTATCACGAAGAGGTGGGAAGTTGTATTGCTTATATGTCGACTTTCAAAAAGCCTTTGACTCCGTTGAAAGAAATTGCCTTATGTATAGGCTGAGTTTAGACGGTATCAATGGGAAAATGTACAATATTTTGCAAAGTATATATAGCGATGTTAAATCCTGTGTTAGGATTGGAGGGTCTACATCGGATTACTTTCAACTTGAGAGGGGTGTCCGACAAGGGTGTCTAATTAGTCCCATTTTGATTTCGTTCTTTATAAATGAAATAGAATCAAGCTTATGTGATTCGGGGCTCAGGGGTATGCAGTTGTTGCCAAATGACATGTTTGAACTGTTTAATCTTTTGTACGCTGACGATATTGTTTTTATGGCAAATACTGTTATAAATTTAAAACGTATTCTCAATGTCCTGTATGAATTTACCATTAAGTGGAAAATGACCGTGAACCTGTCGAAAACAAAAATAGTGGTTCACCGAAATGGTGGGCATTTAAGCAAAAATGAAATGTGGTATTTTGGAAACCAACTTATTCAGACCGTGGGATCATATGAATACTTGGGATTAATTATGTCCTGCAAGTGCTCTTGGCAAGTCACAACAAAACAATTGGCGCTAAAAGCCAAGAAAAAAATTATCTGCGTCCGAAAATGTTTCAAACATGTCGAAGCTCTGCCAGTAGATATTTATTTCAAATTATTTGATGTTATGATCTTTCCGTTAATCACATATGGTAGCGAAATTTGGGGTTTTAAGACATATGATCACCTAGAAAGTATCCATACAGAATATTGTAAAAGATATTTAGGATTAGCAAGGACCACATCTTCAAGTATGGTTTGGGGAGACTGCGGACGACTTCCATTATTTTGCTATTACTCAACACGCTGCATTAAATACTGGCTTAGGGTTACCAGATTAGGGGACGAGCGTCTGCCAAATAAAGCTTATAAAATGCTTTTAAATATGCACAATCAAGGCAAACGCACTTGGGCTACTGAAATAATGCTCCTATTAGACAATTTAGGTGTTGGCACAGTCTGGGAAAATCAAGGCGTTGAAAACAGTGAAAATTTTCTACTTGAGTTCAAAAGCCGTGCGCAAAATGAAGGCAAAAGAATTTGGTACTCTGATATATGTACGGCGGAGAAAACAAATCATTATCGACAATTTAAATTTAACTTTGGCAGAGAAATGTACTTAAAGCTTTCAGTCAACACAAAACTTCGTAGAGCATATGCCCGTTTAAGGTGTTCAGATCACCCCCTAGCTATAGAAGTCGGTAGACACAGAGGAATCGCCAGAGAGTATAGAATTTGCGATCTATGTTTGTCTGAAATTGAAGACGAGTTCCACTTTCTTCTAAAATGCCCAAAACTAACACATTCAGGCAAACATTTCTCCCCCAGTCTCTCCAGGACCATGCAGCAAACACCTTGCAGGATTTTCACAAGATAATGGCATCAGACAACACGACTGATATTGAAAGTGTTGCTTTATTTTGTTTTCATGTATTTAAAATTAAAGAGAAAATGTAATTCAAATCTTTTATACTTTATTTTCAAACCTATGACAGAAATGTAATGATTTATTATTATTTGCGTACATGGGCCGGAGGCCTAAATACGAATAAAGTTATATATATATATATCACCCTAATGAAATACCTGTGAGCTGTATATTGACACAAGATATACAATAACCGAGTGCCTCTTACGAGTTAAAGCGTGGGAGTCGTCACCTGCGCATGCGTCAGATGACCATAGTGTCATTGTTTATAAAGAAGCGTCTACCCATGAGTCTTTGCGTTTTAGCGTATGCTGTTATCGTCGCTTGGAACTCAATTCCCGCGCGTGCGCAGGTGACGACCCTCCCGCTTTAACTGCCAACACGGTTAAACCGTGCTGCCAATGGAGATTTTGGCGATAGGACTAGATGGTGTGTCATCGAATTCGAATGTCTAATTTTGCACTTGCACTTGAAAATGCTAGTGACAGTGATAGTGAGTGTCAATAATTTCCAAGTGTGTTTTCCAATAAACAGTG